GCCCCACCCAAGCCTCACGCACAGGACCACCCCACTAAAGGACCACAGGGGTCCGGCCATGAGACCAAGCATCCACACCTGAACGCTACTGCCAAAGTGTTCGGGCAGCTGTACGGCGTGTTTCAGCTCAGTGATCAGCTGGCCTGTGATTCCGGCATGATCCCGTCGCTCAATGTCTGCAACATGAGCTGCTCTGGTGAGTTTAAGGCCCTGTTTACACCTTTAAGATGCGGTTTGGTCGATCGGATCACAAGTAGACGAGGGAGACACATTCCCGCTCACACCTGGTGTTTTAAAGGCACAATATGTACGATTTTTTCGCCACAAGAGGGCGCAGTTTCCAACAATAACAAAGGCGTAGGTTGATGACGCAGTGATGAGCTGAATGATGGGACTTGCTGTCAAGCTGATGAATCTAATAATGTTTATGGATGAGTGCAAACATTCATGTTTTTTAACATTACAGTGGTATAAAGCAGGTCGCGATTGCTAAAGAGACAGATATCACACGCGAGTCCCGCGGATATAAAGGAATAAGGACATTTAATTCTACCGAACTACACGCAAGTGCTGGATTACTCACACAGGTCAGTTTATTAGACGAATTAAACTGGTGAGGTAACGCAGCGATGCTTCACTTGGTCTAACGTTACACTATCACACTAAACGGCATTTAAATGTGTGTTGAAAGTTATAATGTTATACTACGTGTTAGTTCGTTGCTATACGAAACTAGCAGTAAGCTAGATCAACGTTAGAATAACATACTGACCATATTCTAACATTTCATCATGTTGAGCTAACGTTATATAACATTGATTTGTTTCATGTATATTTGCTCACCTGTCTAATAAAGCTGTCAAGTCGTGACTCGTGAAGCTCTGTCGAGTCCAAGTTAGTCGCGGACGTGGAGCTCTCGGCATCTCAAAACGCCACGCTGACATTGATCCTCATTTTAGTTCAACCAGAAAGACTCGGGAGAATAATGCCGTTCCCAGTATTAACAGCTCAGCAAGCATAAAATGATATAAAGTTATTTGCCGTAGGCCCCGTCCGTAGTTCGCATTCCGAGGGTACGGAATCTGCATGTCCTGCCTGAAGACGAAGGCAGTGGCGCAGCCGACCCCCCCTTATGGGACGGGACCATCCTGGTGGTGGTGTTGGGGAGGGTGGAGGAGAAGGGACATCTTGGTGGTGGAGGGAAGGATGGAGGTGAATGGAAGCGTCAGCATCTGCAAACTCATACATGTGTAAGTTTCGACCTTTTATACTACGAGTATTTAGAGCACGATTGGATAAGTGGAGGTAAACAGTGACGTAATGATTGAGTCTTCCCGGCAGAACTTACGCAAAAGCTGCATTTCTCCTCGTTTGTCCCAAAGTCTGCTTGCCATGGTCTATGTTTGAAAGAAACAAGAACTGCGTGCCGCTAAACGTTACGCACTACGCAGTTGTCCACGTCTGTCGCCATGGTTACGTCATGGCTAAGGCAGTATGAACTGAAACCGAGGATAGCGCGGATATTGCGTCATTGACACGCGACATTTTTATCCGGGACGGCCACTTATTTAAAATGGGAATTTCTCTGAAATAAAAAATCTTTGGAGACTTTTGGGATATTGTAAGTACACAACTGCAGGAAATACATCACACTGTGCAAGTGATTTTTGGATATTTTATTACAAAATTCGTACATATTGTACCTTTAATCCGTCTCTTTTGTCCACTTTCAACCACTTCTGTCCTGATTTCCTCAAGGGGAGGGTCTATGGGCGGGTAAATGTCTGGGTTTTCAGATCTTTCGATCTAATCAATGGACGAAATAAGCTCTTGCTATTAACATTTGAACGCGACCGGAGAGACGGAAAAACACGGAGAGCATCAGCTTTAGTTTCTGCTCTGACAGACACAAGATCAGCCGAACGCTGCGAGTGTGTGTTAGAGATCAGGAATATAGAGAGAACATTGTGCTTGGTACGTTTTTCATCTTTAAACCAAACTTGAGTCTCCAGCCGATAGTTTAAACCCCGTCTGGCTAGAGCTCTTCATAATGTTCATGCATTAGATCAGTAGATGGAGAGAAGACGGTCTTTTGTGGCTGTTTGAACACACTCGACCACATGACCGTTTACACTACGAAAGCAATCCGGTCAAATGTGTTTTCAACTTCCTCTGGAAGTGGTGGAAAGTGGACGAGCTCAAAGCCCTGTTTACACCTGTATTTAGTGTCGTCCACTTGTGATCCGATCGACCAAAGTGCATCCTAATACCAGCTGTAAACACGGCCAAAGAGCCAAAACTGCATATCAAATGTAGCACTTAAGACCTGCATTTATCATGACCCACATTGTGTTTTTAATTTCTGCATTGAAAATCTGAAAGAGAGTGAATACTGTGGACGTTTAAAAACTAATCAAAGAGCCAATTAAGCAAGGTTTTGAATTATTTTTCTTCTTTTATTGCACAAAAGCTTTGACTGATGATGACATCACCAATGACATCGCCTGCCTGAAGACCCTGATGAACAGCATGTAAGTTCACACAAGCTCAAACACAGGCTTGCTGTAGTTACCAATGGTGTTTAAACTAATAATTCAAAGCAGGACATGCTTTTCTTCATGTTAGTTTGGTATGATAAGAATCACATAGTAAAAAAAAATTGTTAACACATATTTTAAAAGAACTGAAACTGTAAATATTACGTGTGTTATCTCTTAACAGGAAATCCAAACCCAAAGACAAGCCCACTGATGTTAATAAGTTGTAAGTTTATAGTTTTACTGATTAAAGTACAGTTGTACAAATCATAAATTTAGTTATTGTATTTAAATGCATTGCCATATCAGCTTCAATAATACAAAATACAAATGCGTTTGAGGCTTGAACTATGTAATCAGGCCTGAATGTTCAATGCGTGATTGTCTATGGTGTGTTACAGTTTGGAGACGCTGATGGTGAAGGAGTGTCAATCTGTCGTTCCCTCAAAGTACTTCGCAGACTGTGCTTAAAAAACCAGACGGACCAACAGACTCGCTCTCGCGTCCTCCTACTGCATTACTTACAAACACAGCAGTCTGGTGGTTTCCATACCTCTGGTAATGAGGTCAATATGACGGTGGCGGTATCTGTGTGAGTTTATTAAATGTCCAATGAGTTTTAATAGAGTGAGTTTGTGCATTCAGACACTTTAGTTTATTGCTGTAATACTGTGAATGTTCTGTCTAAATATATATTACTGTGCCTAATATAATTGTGTTGCTGCTGCTGAGGGCTTTTAAATACTGTCACTTTATCATAAACAATAAAATCAAAAACTGGAGTGCTTTTCTTTTCCTTATTATATTAAATCAAGTGAACGCAAAGTTTCTCAAGGGAAGGCAAAAGTTTTGCAAGTGAATGCAAAGTGTCTTGGGGTAAGACAAACATTTTGCAAGGGAATGCAAAGGTTTTGTGAGCAAATGCAAAGTTTCTCGGGGGAACACAAAACATTTGGGAGAGAATGCAAAAGCATTTACATAATTTTTTTTCCCTACCATCTCATATATTTTTTCCCCCATCACTATGTCCCTTTAAAGGATTCCAGAGTAATTTACAATAACTATGAACTTAATTATTGGGGATTTTTTTTTTTTATCTAGTTGTTGATACATTGATATGGAGTGGAATGAGGAAATATAATAAGCATAGATTTTATACTAAGCATAGATCATGCAAACAACCAAACTAATAATCAGATAAATACATTTTTATTTTAGTAAGTTGCATAAATTTTATTATACATGTATTCAACAATATTAATTTCAATATACATTTTATTTAAACAACATAAATATTTTAATTTTGTCAATGCACAATACATTTTGTGAAACATTTAATTTCTTACCAGACGTTCTGTTGTTGGAGATACAGATGAATGAGAGTCTTTAAATGTTCCTCAGTCTTCACTGTCTATGACCCATCAGACTTATATATGTTAGAGTCGCCTCCACCTGCAGCTGCACCTGTGCTTTTGGTTCATCCCACCATTAATGCTGAGATTAATATTTGATGCTCGTCTCAGAGAAAGACTGTCTCTCCCTGGAGAGTTTTGGTTCCTCCCAAAGTTTCTTCTTCATCCACTTAAACCAACCAACCATCTTTTAGGCACTATACCCGCAAAGCAGCTTTGGATCTAAATGTATTGTGAAAAGCATAATGCCAATAAAACTTTAAAAAGAACTGAATTACTGGGCATTCTTTGCAAGTAAAGCATCACTGTTCCTACATACATTTGCAAGTTGCATGAGCCTTTGACACTCTAACGTAAGCTGCAAATCATTTACTGTGACAATGCTGAAGAACAAGTCTGATTTGCATCGGATAATTCATTAAGTCCTAAATGATCCTTAAATTAGTTTGGTTGAAATAATTTCTTGACTAAAGCCATTGTGAGTTTCTAGAAACGGCTATTTTAGATGACAACGCCTTGCCCATAAAGCACTTTTGCACAAAAGCATTAAGTCTTCACAGGGAATCGTCAGGTTCACGCCACCAACAGATACACCCAAGAAAAAGACAGTGAGGATTTAAAGCTTTAAAAAGTGACTTCCGTCCTCGATTATATGTCTGTGGCAGTCATGCAACATCAGCTCCAGAAACACTCACAGATGGAAATTATATGAAAGATACCAACTAAAATGACCTGCATGTCACATCACAGCAATTGTCAAGGTTGGTTTGGGTGGATGGAGAAACCTTGGCATTTAATTTGAATATTGGGGATATTCAAATTAAATGACCCATCATACCACTGATCAGCTCTACCAAACTTGGATGTCTTTTTCCAGTAATAAACAAACACTGTTAAGTTGTTTTGATTGATACTGTGAAGCAGCTTTGATACAATCTGTATTGTGAAAAGCGCTATATAAATATATTTGACTTGACTTGACTTGGGAGGAACCAAAACTCAACAGGGCGAGACCATCTTTCCCTGACACACATTCAGACCAAAATATATTAATTGTTAAATGAATTAAAAGTATTAAAGTTGGGATGAACCAAAAGCACAGGTGCAGCTGAGGTGGAGACGACTCTAGCATATATAAGTCTGATGGGTCACAGTACAGAAGGACAGTGAAGACTGAGGAACATCCGAAGACAACAAAACATCCAATAACAAAACATCTGGTAAGAGTCATTTTAATACGGTTCCTCCAGCAGTTTGATTGCAGGTTGTGTTCAAACTGGTAGGGAATGCCTTGCTGGTCATTGTGACTGCAACAAATATACAGTATAGTTCATTTGGGGTCAGTAAGATTTTTGAATGTTTTTGAATGAAGTCTATTCTGCTCACCGAGGCTGCATTTATTTAATCAAAAATACAGTAAAAACAGTAATATTGTGAAATATTATTACAATTTGAAATTGGTGTTTGCTATGTGAATATATTGTAAAATGTGATTTATTCCTGTGATCAAAGCTGAATGTTCAGCATCATTACTCCAGTCTTCAGTGTCACATGATCCTTCAGAAATCACTCTAATATGATGATTTGATGCTCAAGAAACATTTCTGATTATTATCAGTGTTGCATATTCTTATGGAAACTGTTATACTTTTTTATGGAAACTGAATTCTCAGGATTCTTTGATGAATAGAAAGCCCAAAAGAACAGTATTTATTTAAAATATAATTTTTTCCAGATTATAAATGTCTTTACTGTTGCTTTAATCGATATAATCAGCCGTGATGCATTGTTTAAAGCACTTTTTTTTTTTTGCATGATCAGCATAAAATAAAGAGTCGTTTTAATGCGCTTCTGTGCAACCGAATTAACACAACTGACTGAAAAGAAGCTTCCCATTTATCTCTGCGTTTCACCTCCAGATATCAGAGATGAAGAGCGTTCTCTCAGTGAAGATGTTGGCGGCGTTGGCTCTGGTTCTGCTGGTGTCCAGTGCGACTGAGGGACGGATTCTCAGGAAATGTGAGCTGAAGAAGCAGCTCGAGGAGGCTCAGATTCAGGTGATTAGAGCCATGGGAGACAAAATGACCGTGGATGATCTCATCGCTAGACGTGAGTAACAGATTCCCTTCTCTATCCATATATTTATGTCACATGATGTGCAGATAAAAGGTTGATCAGCCTCACACCCTTTATTCCTTTGTTCTGTGGCAGTTGTCTGCAAGGCCAATGCCTCGGGCTTCAACACCAGCTTTGTCAAAGCCATCGCCGCCAAGCCTAAAGAGAACGAGATCCACTCTTTTGGGCATCAAAAGCGGCGGCCCGTCTGGCAGCTGTACGGTGTGTTTCAGCTCAGTGATCAGCAGGCCTGTGATTCTGGCATGATGCCATCGCTCAATGTCTGCAAAATGAGCTGCTCTGGTGAGAAAATACCACACCAATCATAACACTATCCTAAACAATGATTTGTGAATTTCTGGACTCAAAAACTGGCAGATTCCTATGGCTCTCTAAGCATTCACAGTGAGCCAGTTTGAATAAGGTTTTGACTCTTTTCTGTTTCCTCCAATAGCTTTGATTGACGATGACGTCACAGATGACATCGCCTGCCTGAAGGCCGTGATTGGCAGCATGTAAGTAGCACACACACACTATGATCTCATTTCATGCACTGAAAAACATTTTGTGTAGGATTTACTTTGAAATTGATTTCACTCAGAAATTGCTAAATTTTTTACACATAATTACAAAGAAATGGCAACTAACACATTCTGCAGTAGACAGACTGAAATGGTATTTTCTGGTAAAACTACTCCAATAATCTTTGTTTTGATTACAACTACAAATAAAAAGCATTTTTGACAGTGTAGTTACTGGATGGCAATAGGGCAAAAGCGCATGCGAAGGAAAAGTTAAGTCTAAGGCCTGTATGCAAATATATAAACGTTCAATATGTTTTATTACATAACATGTTTTCTTTCTTCACAGTAAACCTAAACCCAAAAACGCCTCTGATATCACTCTTCCACTTGTAACGTAAGTTGAAAATAATCAAATTTCTTATCCTTTATATATGCAAAAAGAAGTCTGCAGAAGTCTCTTTTTTTCACAATAGTCTGCGAGATTATTTTTGCATATAGGCCTATATATTATTTATAATTTTGCAAACATGTAAACCCAGTGCTGTTTAATCGATTAGTCGCATTTAAATTAGTAAATATATATATGTCTGTGTGTGTGTATATATATATATATATATATATTATTAATCTAATTATTTACCTCAAGTATAAAGGCTTAAGAAGTAAAATCAGTTTTTTTTGTGTGTGTGTTACAGGTTGAACACTATTTTGGTGAAGGAGTGTCGCTTTGTGGTTCCCTCTCGTTATTTCGCTGAGTGTCTGACAGCAACAACACCAATTGCTGATTGATTTCACTAAGTGAAACAACAGTGTGTACTCTTCTGACCTGCTGTAAAACTGTAGATTTGTACCAGTGATTTACAAAATCAATATATGTATATACTGACTACCATTGCCTACAATATCGCTGCATGATTTCTGTCAATCTAAAAACAAAACAGTCCGATGTTCCCATGGCAACTGCTTTGATTCAATGTTAATGAGGTCACTATGAAGGTGGTGGGACCAGTGTGTGTTTAAACCATAGACTGTAAAAAAAGATGGACTACGGAAAGGAGAGTGCGTTATGCCTTCGTTCTCTTCCATTGGTGAGAACTGAAGCCGCCAGTGTCCCGATAAAGAGAGCATAAGTCCCTTCCCTTCCGGTCGACCACCATGGGACCTTATTTCGGAAAAATATTATATGGTAGTCAATGGCGAAAGGCAACAAATATTTTGATCTCGTTTGAATTGTGCCCTGAATTACACATATGATGTTTGTCAATTTAAAAGATACATTTTAAAGTGAAGAAAGTCGCAGTTTGATGTAAAACTGTTGAGGTATAAGACTGTGAAAATACGTAATTACAAAGACTACAAACCCCAAAGGCGCACATTTTCTCTCAATGAATGAAGCTAACTTTACTGAAGCTACGTCTGTCATTTTTTCAATAGTCCTACGTTATAATCGTAACGTTACGCCGTCATGCCTGAGTGTTTTGTACCAGACTGCACACACACGAGCAGCGGATCTTGCTCGTTGTTTCGCTTCCCGGGAGATGTAGTTCATGGAGCGATTTTCACATAAAACTAAATGTTACTCTTCTGTTTTATGACAAACTGCGACTCTTGACTTTCAGAATTATCTTTTAAATTGACAAACATCATATGTGTAATTCAGGGCACAGTTCAGACGGAATAAAAAGATAAGTTGTCTCTCGCCATTGACTACCATACATATTTTTTCTGAAATAAGGTCCCATGAGCCGGAAACGGAGGGGAGGGACTTAGGCTCTCTATGGTGCTGACATCTTGGGACTTGAGTCTGCGCAGTAGTGATCTCGGGACCAGACATGCGGTAGTGAGCCGGAAGTAAAGCCGTGAAATCAAACCCCGCCCTCACTCTCGCAGAATGCACTCTCCCTGCACTTATTTTAAGTGGCCTATGTCTGCTCCGTTCCTCCGTTCTGCTCCAATATTGATGTCTGTTGATTGCAGTATGACAAGAGGCTTGTTAAAATAAAGTAAATACAATCTCCTCATTCCTCCGAAAATCCTGAAAAAAAGTCCGTTGGTGCTTCAGTGACTACTTCGCTCAGAGAACCTGTCAAGCATGACGTTACTGTCACGTTTTGCTGATAAGAACCCAAGTGCAGACAGTACTTTCACAAAACACGGTTTATTTACAAACGGAAAACAAGGACCCACGATGGGGCAAACGACCATAGATAAACGGAACTAGAAACTTGACGATGACAAACAGTAACTCTGACAATAACTAGACTTGACAATAAATATGCTGAACTCACAGACAGATTACAAAGCTCACAGAACCGGATGATAACAACACGAACAAGCCATGAGAAACAAACACAGGGATCTTACATAGGACACATAATCACAAGGGTACAGGTGACACTGATGAATATCAATACTGATGAGAGAACAAGGGGTGTGGTAAGGACACATAATCACAAGTCACAGGTGACACTGATAAAACATTAACTGACAAGGAAATGAGGTAAAGACACAAGACAATGCAAACACATAGCCCAAAACAACCGGCCATGTGCTTGCACACAAAACAAGAGACAAGTACATGACAGTTACACCACCGTTTTTATAGCATCACGTAACGAACTAAAAACAAATTTATTTTAAAAACAGACACTTGAACTTACATCAGCATTAGGGATGGGCGATATGGCCTAAAATCCATATTGCGATATACACTGCAGCCTCTTGCAATAACGATATATATCACGGTATATAAATTATAATAGAACCATTTCAGATCAGGTTAAATAGAATATAAGGAAAGCCAAACTGCTAAAAATATATATTTTTAAAGAAACGTACATAGTTTTGAGAACATTTATTATGCAAAACTGTAATAATACAACATAATGTTGCAAATAAATAAAATTGAAGTACACTAGCTGCAGAGACTTTAAGAGTGAGAAAAGACAAATGTGAGTTTTTCAAGCAGTCAGTTGAATATATTGGTCATGTGATCGATGCTGATGGACTGCACAAGGCACCTTCAAAAGTAAGAGCCATATGTAAAGTATGCGGTTCGTTTTGGCAGTGGTGGAGGAAGTACTGAATCTCAGTACTTAAGTAAAAGTACAAATAACCAGAGACATATTTACTTTAGTAAAAGTAGAAGTACCACAATGACAACCCTACTTAAGTACCTGATTTTAAATGTACTTTACAGTAAGTATTAAAAGTAAAAGTACTTGCATAACAATTTGTTCTCTTAATGTCTATATTCTAATGATTAATAAAACAGTTAATTCTAACTCATTCAACCTAATACTCAATGATGTTCAATATGATGGAAAAGCAGTTATATTTTAAGTTTTTGTCACCATTTCTGAACAAGCTTGCAATTAGGCAATATACACATCAAGCTTAGGCCTACTATATACCCTTACGGGTGTCCTGTAAAGAGCACATTCAGGACTTTTCAGAGATACCAAATGTTTGGAGGTTTCACCATGAAAACAACTTCTCCTTGGTCTTTAAAAATGTCTGACATTAATTTAGTGATCAAATGTAGCATTCTTATGGAAATATGATAATATAGTGTAATTATAATATAAATTGGACTACTTTTCAAATTGTATTTCATAAAACAACATCTCAGGAAAATGTTAAGGGGTTTAAAAAAAAAAACTTTCTGTTACAGAACAGGGCATTGATTTCAAACGTGTCCACTGTAGAGGACATCAGGACTAAAATCATGTTTATCAGGCATTCTGGGAGACACAACAAGTGAATATGGAAATAAATTATACATCAATATTCCTATGAAATGTTAGATATTATTATTAAAATGTTGCCAATTATTACTCCAATTATTACCCTTTATTCTTTCATTAAATGTTGCTCCCAGAACACATTAATGTGCAAATTAGATACAGTGTATAGATACATTGCATTGAATGGGAATATTAACTTATGGCCATTTTACCCACATATTGCAAAAAGTAAAATGGTGTATCAATTCATTCCATTATTTCTTTCATAACATAGTTGAGAATAATCTTTATACAAATTTTGGTTGAAAAAATCCTGAAACCCCAAAATGTATTGGTGATTGAAAAAAAAATCCCATTGGTTTTGCCTATACATATAATTTCATGTCATTTTATTTTTTAAACAACTTAGTCCTGGCGTCCACAGAGGACATAGCATAACGTATGAATAAAATATTATTTTATATATATGTTTTTTTACCATTTGTTTATTGTGCTCTAAACAGTGTGATGACATAGAAAAAAACTAAATTCAAAAAACTTTTTTTTTCTGGGTCTCAGGAGGATATGACGGCGTTTGGCTGTAAACGCGATTCATTTAAGGCGTAATTCTGAACCTCTTGGCTTGCCATACTAATCCTAACCAAACGTATAATACACACGCACCCCACATCACTACTAAACCTACCAATGCGTTTCCTATGCATGTAAAAACTAATTTTCGCGTATAAATTGCACGATAAACACACTGCGTGCTATAGAGACGCATTTAGTGTGACCGGGTTGATATATCTAGGCAACCAAACTTCACTGGTGAGACAGAAAGGGCGATGAACGGACGGTCAGGATGACGTTTTGACAGGGGGAAAACTGATCAGAAAATGTAACGAAAATGTAACAGAACGTTGTAGAAATGTAGTGGAGTAGAAAGTATAATAATTGTTGCAAAATGTAACGAAGTAAAAGTAAAAAGTATGCACTATTGATTCTACTTAAGTAAAGTATAGATACGTGAAAAATTTACTTAAGTAAAGTAACGAAGTATTTGTACTTCGTTACATTCCACCACTGCGTTTTGGGGAATATGTATTCAATAATTAATAATTCATAATTAATAATTATTCATACGGGTTTGAACCAGATACTTATACATGTTAAATCGCCCAACGAGGGGGATCATCTGTTACCTGCATCTGCATTCATATCTATCGGATTTTAACCACAAGGGATTATGATCAACCACAGATGTACAGATATTTTACAGACAGGTTAAAATTAGCTCAATTGTCAGCGTTGTGTTATAAATTTGAGAGAATCCTCATTCTAGGGGACTTCAACATACACATTGACGAAAATGACTGTGTGATGGCAAAGGACTTCCTATTTTTATTAGACTGTTTTAATCTTAAACAGTTTATCAGCGGCCCTACACATAATAAAGGTCATACATTAGACCTTGTGATTGCAAACGAAGCAATTATATCACAGCAGTGTTCAGTTGATATTGGTCTCTCTGATCATCTGGCAATCTTTTTTAATATGGAACTGCCTCTTCCTTCTATGTCTTCCTCACACTCTGTTCAGTTCCGTAAATGGAAATCAATTAATCCGTCAGATTTTGCAGACTCTGTTGTTTCCTCTCTTAGTGGTCTTCCGTCAGCTCCTCAGGAAGATAAGATTTTAGACTTGAATACTGTTCTTGCCTCTAATTTAGATTATTTTGCTCCCTTGAAGTCACGCAGGGTTTCTTTTACTCGTTCTGCCCCTTGGTATAATGACGACCTGCGCTTTAGGAAAGCAGCTTGCCGTAAATTGGAGCGTAAGTGGCGTGACTCGGGCCTGAATGTATTTTATCAAGCCTGGAAAGATCACCTGGGGGAATATAGATCTGCAATTGATTCTGCCAGATCTGTTTATTTTTCCCAGATAATAGATAATAATCTAAGTAATCCAAGGCATCTCTTTCATACTATAAACAGACTTCTTACAGTTAGTGTTGGTACCTCTCTGCCTGTTTCAAATCAGGTGTGTAATGATTTTCTTAAT